GTTAAGGACATTAAGTGTCGCAAACGGAAGGTTGAATCCATGACTACCATACTTACAAAACATTAGAATTATTCTACTCAGTAATCTTAAAGGCATGCCTAGGCTTGAAACTTGGAGATAATGTCCTGCACAGGTACATGGCAGGAAAAAGGCGATCAATTCCCTAGACAGAAAAAACAGGCATCTTTTGGTTTGGAGGGTATTGTTTTCTTGCTTTTAAGTCTAGCCATGCAAAAAGTCAAAATATTATTAAAACTTAAAAAAATAATAATAATAAGCAAAAAAATCCAAACCCAAACCTAGCCCTCGAACAATTTCAGATCCCTTCTTGTTTATGTCCCAGATTAGAACATTTGTTTTTGGGGGGAAAAGTCAAACTATTCATCCTTTCCATCTTGTTTCTCTATCCAGTTTATGTTTAGATTCTTTTGCGACTTCCGGTCTACCACCGATATAGAATTAGACAAGGTTTAGGTTATGTTCATATATCTAACCTAACTATACGAATTAAGTACTAAGTAATTGTAGTATTCATGATTTTGAGAGTTATGTTTTTGTTGCAAACTTGAAAATATTATCAAGTTTTAACAATTTTCGAGGTATTAAGTTATTTATTGGCATAGAATAATTAAAATAATATTAATAATGGAAATGGGACGATGCTCGATTACGCACATTGTCACGCTTGGGCTCGTAATGTTTGAAGATTGACTTTCACATCTTGCCAGGCCTTTCACCTATTAGATCCATATCCCAATAAATTTGGAAAACAAAATGATAAATAAATATACGATAGGTATAATTGCAACTGGGGTTCCAAACCTTTCAAAAAGGTGTAATTGGGTCTCAATCGTCCTATATTTTTTTCGGCCATCACAAGCATTTTCCAAGTTTGTACAATGTATAATGGAAAAATGAATTCTGCCTACTTGTGAAGGAGCGGGTTGAAAGGAATATATGCCCCCGTTTGGTAGTGATTTTTCATTCCAAAAAATTGATTTTTTGACTATTATATCACTATTTCAACCGTCATTTTTGACTACTTCACTCACAGGTGGCTCCCACATTTCTCTCTAACGGTCAAAATATCAATTTTTATAATCATTACCGAACAGGCCTTATATATACATATATATTTCTGTGTGTGTGTGTGTGTGAAGAGGTGTAAGCGTGAATTGAACGGTTTTTGATAGATTTTCAAACTAAACCATTTAAATTGGTTTGACAAAAATCCAAATCTAAACCAAACTATTTATATGGTGTGAGATTTTCTCAAACCTAAATCTAACGATTTGGTTCGATTTTAAATCGTGATTTGGCCATATATTTCAGACTTTTAGATCAAATGATTCAATACTTATATACACATATATGCACACACGCTTACACACTTTCTTTTGTTCATCTAATATATGAAAATTTAAAGTATTATATTATGGGGACCCTCAGCTATAAGACGCCTTAGGCCTGTTGCCCATGTTGCCTACATTTAGGCCGCCTTGCAGAGAGCTCATGGCTCTTTATCTTGGGTAGCATGCCCTTATAGGTGGGCATGACATGGTCTATTCTGGGCTGGACTTTTCACAAGCTAGGACGCTTGGAGTTGGGAAACTAGATATATTTTGACAATGCGAGCATATGCTCATTTAATACAAGGTTTAGTTTAAGCCATGGACACCAAACAAGATGGTTCATTATCAAAATGTATAGGGCTTTGGACAGGTTTGATTTTTTTGAGGTTCGAATGATCAAGGTTTCAAATCCTAGCAATTTTTTGACTTTAAAAAACAGTTAATTATATCATTTATTTAAAAAATTCATAAATTGGGATCTAGAAGTATATATTGATTATTCTTCGACAAACTACATAACCTATACTTGCCCAATGCAATGTAATCCAACTTCCAAGGACTAAAATACTAAATTGGCCAGCTTCCATTTCAGAGCTAGTAAACTTTATTATTATTATTATTATTATTATTATTATTATTATTATTATTATTATTATTATTATTATTATTATATAACAATGGATTTGATTGTCTTCACTCCTAAGCCATTCGGACTTCTCTTCTAAGAAATATACCCCGCGAGTAATCATCAATAAATGATTCAATCAAACCTTCCCTTATTGAAATTATTGAACACGAAAGAAGGATTTCATTCATGGAGACACAGCAAACAAGTTTTAAAATTCTTATGTTCCAATGGTTAGCTCACGGACATATTTATCCCTTTCTTGAATTATCCAAAAAATTACTCCCAAAGAAAAACTTCCAAATATACTTTTGTTCTATACCCATTAATATTGATTCAATCAAGAACAGTTTGCTCAAAATTTTATCAGAGTTTTCAATAGAATTTATCGAACTTCATTTACCATCACTGCCTGGACTTCCTCCACAATATCACACAACCAAAAATGTGCCACCGAATCTGATGCCAACCCTTATGCTGGCTTTTCAGATAACAGGTTCTTGCTTCTCCAGCATCATCAGCAACCTCAAGCCTGATTTGCTGATATATGATGCCTTGCGGCCTTGGGCTCCAAACCTTCTTCATCACAAGGTATTATTAAAGAAAGCGTTGTTGACCAAACTCATCTAAGAACTTAAGATACTGGTGAGAAAGTGATGGGATTGTAAAGAGGAGGTTCCAACAATATTTGATTTAATCAATAATAAAATGTGCAATATAAAAATATTGAAACACAAGAAAAAAGGGGATCTCATTAAAAAATGCCCTAAGGCAGTATCAATTCGAGGATCTCGCAATACATATGTGTTGTTTTCTCCAGGAAGTCCACTGCGAGTGTTGATCACACGCCAAAGCTTAGAAATTAGGATGTTTTCGCACTCAGACCATAATCACCCAAGATCATAGAAGATTCGATCTTCTCACTTCAGAAGAATGGTTCACACAAGAACACACTACACTTCTTAGAAAAAATCACTCAAGATTACAAAAACCAAATATGAGAACGTGTTGAAAATCGAATAGGATCTTTGATTTTCAGAGAGAAGAAGAAGATGAACTCGAACGGCCAGAGAGCAGATAGAAGGCTCTAGAAAACCAGAAAATCACGCATCGCAAACCCTAGGACTCCCTTTTATATGAGTCACCAAATGGTCAGCCATCCAATGGATATGGGGTTAACACATGGCATCATCATGAGCATCCATTAGAAGAAACACGATTTTTGTAAATTGAAAGTACATGTTTAAGGGACCAGCTAACACTTTAAAAAATAACAAATAAAAGTCAGCTGGTCAACTCACACAATTGCATCATTGTGCCACAACCTTTCAATCTCCACCTTGGTACAATGATCCACATTCACTCAACAATGTGGTTGTTCCCAATTTTTAAACACCATTTGCACTCATATCAGATACTCAAATCAGCATGCAGTGATGTTCAACATGTTCAAGCAGTCCAAGAACTTGTTAAGGGGTAGCACCTTTGTACCTGCATCAGCGGGGTTAAAATTAGTAGAAATCTTTTCAAGTTTCATAACTCATTGTGAAATAATATCCCTCATAAAGTGAAATCTAACATCAACATGTTTAGATCTATTATGTAAGACTGGATTTCTACTTAAATGAATGGCTGACTGACTATCAGAATAAAGAACTACTTCTTTAACAAAGCCAAATTCATTTAATAACCCTTTCAACCATATTCCTTCTTTTATAGCATCTGTTGCAGCAATATATTCAGCTTCGGTAGAAGATAATGCGACTATCTTTGAAGCTGGGATTTCCAGCTAATGCAAGAATTACACAAAGTATACATATAGGCTGAGGTGGACTTCCTATTTTCCCTATCACCAGCATAGTCTGAATCAGTATATCCTCTCAATACAACACCTTCAGTTTGTTTTTTGAACTGAATACCTAAATCTAATGTACCTTTAATGTATCTAAGAAGCCATGCCAATGAGCTAGATTGGTGGCTAAGAGTTTTACCCAAAAAGAATGAGTAGACTTCAATGAAATCTTTTCACCCGTTGTAAAATTTACTACTATTAGGGTTATTTTCCCAAGTTTTGTTCTTTTTAAGAGATTGCATTTCATCTTGCATTACTGCAAGCCATTCTTTAGAGTCTTTACTATTTATGGCTTTCTCAAAGGACTCGGGCTGATTTTCAGTCATACTTTGATAAGATAGCAAAGATACATCTTCATCAAACCTAACAGGAAGCCTTATTTGTCTTCTTTACCTATCTCTTACAAGTTGATAATTGTCTAAGGTTGACCAGATTCTGGTTCAACTTCAGA